TCGGTCCGTGTCTAATTTTCGGAAGTGCACTTCAAGGGGACAAGACTAGCAAAGTAGTGGACTAGCAAAAAGGGACCCAGTTTATTTCACACTCCAATGACCATTCCTCAGCCAAAGGCTCTTTGGAATTTCTGTCACCACTATGTCTGCCTTGCGATCCATCTGTTTACCCCCCAAACCTCAGCCCGCCTTTTGCTCAATTCGTCCAGGTGCTCCACGAGAGCTCGGAATGCCAGGCGGGGGTGTGAAGTCAGATGTCCATGATGACAAGGTTTGAATATGGGAGCCCTTTTCTCTCCTCTTCTCAGGTGGTCCTAAAGAACCAGCCGTCTTAGTTCGCAGGGTAGCCACAAGAATCGAGGAAAGAACAAGACAGCGCGCTCCCGTTCTGAGAATTTGAAGTGGGGTTGGCGGTGACGGATGACCTCGCTCGATCCCGCAATGGCTTCCCCATCAGGCTGAAGAGCAGTCGGCAGGTGGGGGGTTTGTCGATACAGAAGAGTTGAAAGGACACTGCAAGTGGGTAGGCCTGGCTGGGGTCGAATCAATGAGTAAGGCGTAGCTCTTGACTTGACTTGAGCTGTTGGCGATTGATGTTTTTCGATGGCTTTCGTAGCTTCTCAGATCCCACCGCTTTACGACGCATGCTTCACACACATTTTCCGGTGGTCAGCTGCCCTCAACCTCAACGGGTGGACGGACAGGCAGCCTGAGTGATACTGGACCACCTGAGGGTGAAGGTGGAGAAGGTGCTCAGACTCCGGATGACCGAACTCCGGATAGCGTGAGACTGGTGGCCTTGAAACAGAAGTGCTGAAGACAGAAGTTGCCATAGCCGAGTTCCGTTCTTTAACTAAAGAAACTTGATGATTCTCGCTGCACCGACAGCAGGCAGCGTCGGGGAAGAAAGCAAAGCCGCTGGGGATGACATGCTTGAGATAGTTGACGAGGCTTGTTGCTATCTTTGCCGAAGAGCCACAGAGAGAAACATCAGGCGGTTCTAACAAGAATGGGCAAGGCCACTTGCCATCAACAATCGAAGAAATTAGGCCGAGCTTCCAAGTGCAAGGGTTGATGAAGATCCCAGCCGCACAGCTTGTGCAAAGGCTTTGGCAAGCCCAGTCGAAGAGCATGAGATTCCAGAAGAGGTGGAGGAGATTGGTCGAAGGGAGGGGGAAAACAAAATTCTTCACCCTTCACTGCCTTCACCCCCCAGGTCCTGAGCACTTGGCCGTGGACTCCTTTTTTTCTACGATCCAGCCAAGGTCTCGAGAAGTGGAAGTAACGCACTCTCGGTCCACCATATTCTGCCCTTGTTAGTTGGACAAGGATGTTGTAGGACCGCTGTTTTGAGAAACAGTCTGGGTGACTTCAGAAGACTGGAGACTAGGCGACATCCACGAAACAGAAACCATTTGAGACCTTTGTTGCTTGCCAATTGTTGCAGGAAAAAGTGGACGTGGAGCTTGTACAGAGCGTGGTTTTGACCGAAGAAATCCCAGTGGAGGCCAGTACTTGAGTCGAGTGATTGAGCATTCTTCGGAGGGATGTATATATAGGTGCAAAAACCTGGCTCACAGTATGATGAAACAACTTGGGGACATTCGGGGTTTTAAGGGGTCACCCAGAAATCCGGTTGCACAAAGCCAGGAGTTGCCCAGCCCCAGCCATGCCAGCCACGTGAGCCACGTGGGTTGCTGCACTCAGAGAGTGGACAATGAAGGGCTGGCGGAGTCGAAAAATCTGGTCAAGGAGGGGCCTGCCGGAGGTCCGTTTGGAAGGACTATAGAGATGTCAGGGGTCTCGAGATCGCTAGGTTTTTTGAGGTCTCCAGCGGTTGTTTACTGATGGGTGAGGGGTGTTCAGGTTGTTTGGGTTCGTCCAGCTCGTTTGGTTCTGACCTCTGCACGCGCCGTGGGTGAGAGAACGCTGCTTTTTGCTGCCATCGAATTTGATTGTGTGGGCAGCTTCCAAAAGACCAAAGCGTTTGCCTTCCACTGAGGTGAAGTGGAGGAAGCTGAAGAAATAGAAGGCCAGGTGTCCATCGACCCACAAAAAAGAAGGCATTGAACAGAATAGGAATAGGATCACATCCTTGCCTTTTCTGGTGCGGTGCCGACGATGCTGCATTCTGGGCCGTGATGTTGAGGACATGGGTGTCACATGCTAAAAATCAGCCAAAGCACCATGATCTGTGGACCTCCCAGATGATCTGCATCATCGAGGGGCAGCCCCTTTGCTTCCAGGCGATGTGGACCCGGCAGCTGATCCGTAGAGTTTCACCCACTGCACGACTGGCCTTCAGACTCATGTGAAGTTGGGGAAACGAGAGGGAGATGGGAGAGGCCAGCGGAGACCGTTTGCAAGAAATGCCAGTCCCAAAGAGAGGTTTGATTTCGATTAACATATTGCTGGAAGAAAAGAATGAGTTTGAGAAACACAGATATGATGCGCGATTCTTGTACAGATATGATGCGCCTTGCCAAGTATCACCAAGTTGCAGCTGCTGATTGGGTGTACAAGAGCGCCATCCCAGTGCCAGTGTTGATTTGATCTCGATACTGTTGGACCTTTGTTTGACGAAGTCTGGGGGTGCCACACCAAACGCAGATCTGCTCTTATTTGCAAGTGATCTCCAGCTTGGAGCCCTTGCCTGTCCATAAGCTTGTTGTCACTGGAGAAGAAAGGCCGCCGCCGATGCAGTTTTTTGGATCATTTGTCCGCACTCTGCAGGCACGCGCAGGCCGAACGCTGGCCATTTCGGCGTGTGCACAGACCGAACGCTTGTCACAATCACAATAGAGGTCCTTTGTCCACCCCTATTATCGCAAGCAGGTTGAAGGCCATCGCTATTAGATTCCTTTTGCTATTGGTTTGGAGGTCATTGTTTTGCGCTGTTTTGCTTTTGGCGGTCCGGCGCTGTGTCCGTACGGCCTAGCCGAGCGCCCGACAGGACGCGTAGCGTACCATGAAAGGCAGAAACTGCACCAAGCAAAGCCATGTAGCAAGACTCCTTTCTGGCCATGCTGTGAAATGATGAGGGTGTAAAGAAGACTGATCCTGAACGCTGTAGCTGCCTCTCTCGCTTAGGCAAGGCATTATGTGAGTGTCTCCGGGCATCTTCGGCTAGGTGGCCCTCTTGTGCGGCTTCTAGCGTACATCACTTGACCTCATGCCAGCATCCTTCTTGCCCTTTCGCATTCTCATAAGCATTTGTTCCCACCTTGCTAGCCTTCATTCCTCCTGGCATCAAGTTTGAAGGCAGAAGGCAATGTAAAGTCTAAATCAATGTAAGGCGATATATGTCTGTGCTGTTGCTGGGCCTTTCCGAGCCCCATACGCTTCATCGATGCTTTCCCAACCTCGAGAATGACTAGACCTTTTCTTTCCATGCTTGACATATGCTGATACATATTGACGGTGAACTGCCCGCAAGCAGGATGAATACATGAGGTACAGGTAGAGCAGTTGCCTTTACCGAGCAACTATATAAATTCTCGCCCTTTTATATTAGCGACTTGAAGTCAGCCAATGTGGAAGAAACACAATTCAGGTTTCACACAGGAGAAGTTTATGAAGCAGCATTTTACGGAGCCCCTTGCACGAACTCAAACTTTCTTTCAAGACAGCAACTTAGCACATTGTTATATAATGTGCAATGTAGCAGTTTGTGCTCGAAGTTCAATTTCCTCCTAACCTGTCGCCATGCTGAAGGATAAGCCGCGCAAGTCCATTGCGCTGTTTGGTACCCATGGCAGTGGCAAAAGCACCTTGGGAGGACGCTTGATCAGAGAATTGGGAGGCTTGAGCGATCGGGATTTTGGGCAAGCTCCAAGAAAAGGTCGATGCCATCAACAAGAGCTCCAACGCCTATGCTTTCTTCATGGATTGGGGCGAGGCCTGCGCTGATGAAAAGCGGCGTTCTGAACATTATGCACAGAATGAACGTATTTGCGCAACGTTTTTTTATGCCATGCGGCCATTCGTGCTACCGTACTGTTTTCATACGCATTGCGCTTGTATGCAAAAGCTGTATGCTCGTACAGTGTTCAAGAATGTTCAAGATGCCTAAGGGTTGATGGGTTTGTTGATGGGTTTGTATGCCTCAGTATGCCGTAGCTTTCAACTTTGTCACGTCAAAAAAGCAGAGGCATGCCACTTTGTGCAGGCGAAACCAGTCAGAAAAAGGTGCACCATACAGATATGCTAAGTACAGTACGGTAACTGTTTTGAGTGACATGGAGATGACCAGATTCCGCCAAGAAAATTAGAACACCGAGAACATTGAGAAAATGCGAGAGAACACGCGAAAGCGGCTGCGTAAAAAAATTATCCGTTTACATGATTTTTTCAATTCGGCGGCAAGTGTCGGGTCCAAAATCGAATTGGAGGTGCCCAGGCTGCGTACATAAACTGTTTCTTGGCTCTAGGAAATCTTGACTTCTGTTGCATGTTGCAAATTTAAGCAGTATGTACTGCAAGAAGGCCATCATCAACTGACAAGCTGCAAGCAGGTTCATCGGGATTGGGGGCCGGGTTGTATACATTTGATCAATCCATTCCGTTCGGTTTCACGTGGCCAAAGTTGCCTCAGGAGGAGCGAAAGCGTGGTATGACCATGGAATTCGCACGACACTTTGAGCTTAAGACGGAACGATACCACTACACTCTGATCACCTGGCCACCGTGACTTGAGGAGGGAGATCATGCAAAGTGCCGAGGCTGCTTGTGCTCTCAGCTGATGTGGGAGTTGACGAACAAACACGCTTCATTTGTCAAGTCCTGCCCTGGCTTTTGAGGGGTGTTGTGAAGCAGGTTGCATTCGTAGTGAGCAAGATGGATGCTGTTGGCTTCTCGTCCTCCAAGTATGACCAGATTGTTGGAGACATCAAGAATCTCTTGCGCAGCACGCGAGGCTGGCCAGGCAAAATGGTGGACAGCATTTCTATGCTACCAGTGGCTGCCTTGCATGGTGACAACTCGTGGAAAGTTCATCCAAAATGGGATGGGCGGAGCAAGCCTTGTACCGTGTGCTTGACAGTGGTGACGTCTTGAAGCTGCCACGCAGGCAACCACACACCCCCTTCCAAATGACGGTGACCAAATTCTACAAGGAAAAGGGTGTGGGCGACATGGTTCAGGGCAAAGTTCTAGAGGGAAAACTCTCTCCTGGAAGTGCTGTGGCCTTTGTGGGCAGCTACAAGCCGCAGCCTGATGCAGGCAAGCTTTTCCATGCAGAACTGCATTACAACCAGGTTGAGAACCTCCTGCCGGGTGACATCCTACAGGTCAAAATTGGGGGGTTCAACCAAGACAATTTGCCCATGGTTGGCGACATCATGGTCTCCACAGGTGGCGCACTCAAAGAGGCCACAAGCTTTGAGGCTGGCATCGCAGTGGCCTCTCCAGGCATGGAATTCCAGGTGGGCTCAACGGTTGTGGCTTTTGCAGGTGCCAGATTTTCACCTTGCAAGATTACGGCCTTGCAGTGGAAGGGTGGCCCAGACACTGGAGGGAAGAAGTGCCAAACCCAACCTCTGTGAAGTTCCCAGAATGTGCTCTTTGCAGCTTCCAGCCGCTGCAGCCTTTCGTTTGCGAGCCCCAGGGTGGTGCGTATGCGCTGGCGAGGCCGATTTTCTTCGACGACAAGATGGATGTCGTGACAAAGCTGGTCAGAACAATTTTTTCAGTTTTGTGGTTTGGACTCACCAAGAGGCACCCAGAGCGCCTTCAGAACACACAGACGCACCTTCTAACGGTTCGCGAAAACGCGAACCAAGCGAACCACATGAACCGAAAAAGGGATGTTCTTGGGCCATCGCTGCGAACGCGTTTGAAGAGCTCGCAACGAGGGCCGGGTCAATCGCCGATCGCCAAAATGATTGGATCGCTCATCCCTTCGACACGTGCCAGGTCAATAAAACACGACCCTAAACCCTAAACCCTGGCCAGAAACCTCATGGGCTACCCTTAAGGAGTCCACAGACCCAGAAACCAAAGAATCACTGACTCAAGGGGCTGCTTGTGCTAAGGGGCTTATCTTTAGATCTCTAGACATAGAAACCTTATCATCAAAAGCCTTTGGCTTAGAAGCTCTATCATCCAAAGCATGTTGCCAAGAAACCTTTTCCCTTACAAATATCACAGGTGGCAAGGCTTGCAAAGTCTTCGATCTAGAAGATAGTTGGCAAGTACTGGTAGTGCACTCTTCAAGGCACCTCTTCACCCACACCCTCTCTCCAGACATCTTTTCATCTAAAGCCTCTTGCCAAGAAACCTTTCCATTTAAAGCTTCTTGCCAAGAAAATTGTTCGTTTAGGCTATATATATATATGCATATAGATATAGATTCATATATAGGTGCATACAATTGTAAGGGGCCCTAAGGCCCACCAGGCCCTAGCCCAGGCCCTACCATGGGCAGGGAGGGTTTGAACAACTCTCTTGCCCAAGCATCTGGGCCAAATTTGTTCAAATGGTGCTGCTTCAAAACCACTGGGGCCATGGTGTCCCAGTTTGGTGCCTGGACCTTGTTCTTGCCATGGGTTGTGTTCAGCCTGGTGTGGTTTGATTTCAAACTGTTCTGCTTCTGTTGTTCTGCTTCTGTGTGGTTGGCTGTCAGGATATATGTGATGAATGCTGTAGCCACTCCCAGCTCAAGCAACCATGGCAGTGGAGTGGAAAGAAGAGGCCCTGTCAGTCACCTTCAACAACATCGCATACACCAGCAACTACACACCATACAAACCAGGTGGCCTCACAAAGTGGCCACTCAGACACAATGGGGAGTACCTGAAGCTCAGCAGAGGCACAGGACTCCCCAACCAAGCCTACTTCCACAGACAACTCTACAATGACCAGGTCCAACAAATCAGACCTGGTTGTGTGGTCCAACACAAAGACCACAGCAAGACAAACAACAACCTCAGCAACCTGCAAATGGTGCTAGAACCACACACAGCACAATGCACCACTCTGGGAGGGCCAAAAGAAGAAGAAGGATGTGAGCGACGTATTGGCAGCTTTCCAGAACTTCGACAAGGCAACGGTAGCATCAGCAAGGCCGAGCTCACTGAAGTCCTGAAGGTCGTGAGTGCTGGGTGTAGTTAAAAGACCTGGGTGGCGGGCTGAGATTTGGGAAGCCTCAAGCTCGATATTTTTCCAACATCTCCTCACATGGTGAGTGTCTCCACATTTGATGTTGGTGTTCTCTTCCACCCCCTGGATATGTAATAGGCTTGGCAAAATCGAGGTCATCGTGCAACTTCGCGGGTGACTTTCCAAAGCTGTATATCATGGGCCTCCAATGGATAGGACCATATGGGCTTCCAAACGGTATGCCAGAACAACTGTCAGTCAGTGTCAGTTTACATTTTCAGAGCATATGCCAGACCACATGTTTCAAATGGTGCCAGGACAAATGCGGGAGCGCATGCAAGACTTGATGTCAGAATCGTTGTCAGAGGACATGCCAAAACGGATGCCAGATTTCCAGATGTCACTTTCAGAGCATATGGCAGGCCATATGTCAAAACAAATGTCAAAAAAGGCGCAGGACAAGAACATGCGATGCCAAAACAAACGTCAGACTAGACTAAAAAGTGTATGTCAGACCACATGTCGGAACCTGTGTCAGGACAATTGCCAGGAGACATTGAAAACTTGACGTGGAAGGTATATATATATATATATGTTGGAACACATGCCAGAACGCATGTCTCATGGTCAGGCCGCATGCCAGAACATGTCAGAACGAAACTTGATGCAAGAGTGAGGCCTATTGCCAGAATAGTTGCAAGGATGGTCTGTCAATGCATATTCATTTCGTTTTTTAATCAACTCGGTTTTTCGTTGCGTACAGCCAGAAAAGACATCGTCCCTTGTTTTGAGGTATTGCTGTGCTGCCTTTGGGAGGAAGCACAAGCGTTGCTTCGACACGTTCTTCAGAAATCTCATTCTCTCGCCTTGTGTTTTGCATGTTGGGGCGTGTTGGTTCTTCTCGCGTTCAGCTGGTGTTTTGCATGTGGGGCTGACTTGGCTTCGGCGCCGCACCAGACCCCGTATGGGTCGCCAGTTCTGCACTCGGATAGCTTCTAGATGCCAGCGTGCAATTTTAAGTGGACTTCCAATCTTGCAATTGCCGTTTGCTATGGTAATGCAGTAGATTTGGAAAAGTTATAGAAAACTTCTTCTTGTCAACGCAGCGTTCTGCTAATTGGGGCTCACGCGCCGTGAGGGAATGTAAGCCAATCAAGTCCACACTTTTTGGGCATTCTTGGGGTCAACCTTTTCTTCTGGAAATTCATGTTTGGCTATCAGAATTCCATTGGGATAAAACGCGGGGTTGAGTCAGGGATTGCTTCTTCAGGGATCGCTTTTTGGATGACCACGTCGGCGTCGTCGGCGAAGCGGTTTTCAGGAGTTGGACCCCGCTGGAACGAAGAGAGCCTGAGCCGCTTGATGGCCAATGCCGATGCCAACGCAGATGGAAAACTGCAGTTGCAGGAATTTGTCAACTGGATCTTTTCGAGCAAGGACGGTGAACAGTGAGAGAAAGTGAACCAATCACTTTCTGAGCTTGGGATGGATGGAACATGGTGTTAGCCATGCTATGCGAGTGATGTCAGTCCGCAATGAACATAATGAATTTACTGTATTTCCCCACCTGCCAGGTGAGGGTTGTTAGATTTTATGACAGTTGTTCTTCCTCCTTCCTTCCTTCCTTCCTTCCTCCCTTCCCTTCCCTTCCCTTCCCTTCCCTTCCCTTCCCTTCCCTTC